CCTGCCACCAACACAAATGCTCTGACGACGATTTTGCTGCTACTGACGGGAACTGTCCCGAGGGCTCATGGAAAGGGATAAATCCCCAGGGAACTGTTTCTGCCCATGCCTCCTCCTCTCTGGCATCTCACTGGGGTGATCCCAGCAGGACCTTCCACCACACAAAAGAAGGGAGGCAGGATGACGACGATTTTGCTGCTACTGACGGGAACTGTCCCGAGGGCTCATGGAAAGGGATAAATCCCCAGGGAACTGTTTCTGCCCATGCCTCCTCCTCTCTGGCATCTCACTGGGGTGATCCCAGCAGGACCTCCCACCACACAAAAGAAGGGAGGCAGGAGTCCTGCAAAGCCAGAGGCTCTGGAGGGGGCCAAAACCATGTGCATTACCACGAAAGAAGCACACAAGGTCCCCAGGACTGGGAAGCCCTTCCCCAGGGAGAGACCAGAGCAGGGTGTGTGCAGGAGCCCCAGCACCAACCAGCAGTGTCTCCAGCTCATGCCACACCATCCTTCCCAAGCTGCAGAGCCACATGCCCACTTAGAGACCAGCTGGCTTGTGGGGTGGCCACCAGACCCGTGTTTACCAGCAGGACGTGCCCAGCACAGCAAACACTGCTGGTTTTCCAGAGGTTCAGGCACAAGGGGGCTCGCCGATGCCAGCTGGGAGGAGAAGGGCAGGTTTCAACCTATGACATTTTAAACAGCCAAAAGCTGGTGGCCAGGCTCTAAGCTCATCTGTGGAGCTCCCCATGATGAGCAACCTGGACTACCCTGGCCTTGGACCCCAGCTGGGGAGGGGGCTGCCCTGCAGTGGGGTCCATCTCCCCCACTGGCTGTGCAGCAGCTCCAGGCCCCCGACTTTGGTTTAGGCAACCTGTGCTTGGGTTAAAGGACAACCTAGAGGAGTGACTCTGGGGACCGATCTGGGGCTGGGCAGCTCTTGGAAAGGAGCAGGAGATGCTCCCCAACCTGAGGCTAGTGCCCAAGGACAAGGGAGAGGTCTCTCAGCAGCCCCCCACCCAGTCTTCTCCATCGCAGGGGCTGTGCAAAGCCCCCAGGAGAGCAGCTCACCTGGCTGCCACCCACCTGGTCCCAGAAGACGTGCCCCCAGTAATCCTCACCCCGAGTGCCGTTGGACAGGCCCCCAGGGCTGATGCCCTGGAAGAGGAACCCGGGGCAGTCCCGGGGCGGGAGGGTGCTCAGCAGGTAGTACAGGCACCCGCGCAGCGCCCGCCGCAGGGACAGGGGCCCGTCCAGCTCCACGCAGCATCCCCGCCACAGCTCAGCCCAGCCCCGCACGTGGACGGCCCGCAGGGCTCCCGCGGCCACCAGGGCCACCCCATGGCTGTAGCTCCTCTGCACCTCTTCCCGGCTCTCGGCCACCGCCGTCAGGAACTGCCAGCACCGCTCCCGCTCGTCCCGGCGCAGCGTCAGCGCGGGGGGCACCGGCCTCCAGAGCATGTGCACGGTGGGACGGGGTCCTCCCTCCACCTCGGGAACCAGAGTCCTCCCGTACACGTAGCTGTGGGGGCAGCAGAGGAGGGGGAGAGCACTGTGCATGTCCAGCCAGGCAGGGGGGACGTCCCCGAGCTCCTGGCCCCACCAGGATGAACACCTCCTTGTCCCCACCAGGATGGACGCCCCCTTGTCCCCACCAGGATGGACACCCCCTTGTCCCCACCAGGATGGACACCCCCATCCCACCCCTGAAGCACAGGAGACTGACATCCCTCACAAGGTGTCCCTGAGCCCATTTCCAGAGGTCATCCCCTGCAGACTCACTCTCTTCCCCAAGCTCATCTCCAGCCCCTGTGGCCTCCGTTGCTCTTTCACACGTCAGAGTCAGAAAGAATTCTGGAGTTGCAACTAATAAAACTGTTTCTATACTCGATTTTTAGCTGTTTTTCTACACCTGGTAAGAAGATGCACAACCCACCCCACCACCTGCCACTTCCATCTAGTTCGAGCCTGACCTTCACAGTTCTTTTCCTAACGTGCAACCACCCACCAGGGATGTACTCAGAGCAAGGTCCCCCCATGACCCAAACTCACTGTGCTCCCTGGAAATCCGGCCCTTGCTTCAGGTCCAGGTCCTGGCTCTTTGGCATGAAAGGTGTTTGGAGCTGCACCGTGATGGGGTGGGTGGTGGGAGCTGATCGCTGGATGGTGATGCTGGAGACCAGCAGGTGGACAAGGGACTGGTGAGCGTAGATCTGATGGGTGGCTGTGAAATCAGTGGCCTGAAGCACATGGCTGAAGGTTCCTGTAAGCACAACGAGGGCATCAGCCTTTTGAACCATCAGGGCTTGATGCTCTGCCCCAGACTCCCAGTTCTGTCCTATCTACTGGTTCCTGCTGGCAAAGGAACCACCCTTATCCAGGTCCAGTTTTCTCTGGACTGGTGACACTGGTGGTGACACTGGTGACGGGGACAAGTCAGTGTGCAATGAGCTGCACTACAAAACGTGTGATCAGGCTCCATGATCAGCTGGTGTGAGCTGAGCCTGGCCCAGCAGGGCCTGAGGGGCAGCCTGAAAATCACCCTCCATCCCACAAGGACAGGGAAACCTTCCACTTTGCTCCAACACAACTTCAGAACAACGACAGCTGCAGGTGAACAGGGAGAAGAAAGGTGTGAGCTCATGGAAGAGGCAAGGCAGGCCAAGAGCCTCTGCACCTCTGCAGGAGGGAGGGCAGAGGAGGAGGGAAGGGCACTGGGAGGGGGCGGGGGGGGCAGGACGGGGCTGCCTACCTGTGCGGGTGTTGAGGGTGAAGGTCTGGGCCAGGCTGTCCACACCAGGCACTGTGACCCTGACGTTGGCAGGGCTGGGGATGTCAGCACGGTGGGTGTCCCCCCCGGCCCCGCTGTAGACGCCACCGACGTGCAGGATGTCCCGGAACACCCGCGTGCCCAGGTAGGCGTTGGTGACCGTGGCCATGAGCCGCGGGTCGGCGGGCAGGCACCGGCAGCTGAACACGGCGGGGTCCTCCTCACCATCAGCCATCTGCAGGGCAGCAAAGCAGGCTCAGGGGCAGGGGCTGGGCAGGGGCTGCTCCCTGCCACCCCCA